TTAAATATATTTAAAAACAGCGAAATTGGAATTATGTGCTAAAACATGTAATTTGTTGGAACTAAGCTGGAAAAATAAATATGAAGGTCATTTAAATTATCAACATGAGGTAAAGTTCTTTTATAAACTAAGTGGAGCATTTAAGGGTTTTTATTTATTGGTTCTTTTATATATTTCTGCTTTTATTTTTAATGAAGTCAGTTTCAGTCCTCCATGTTTCTCTTCTGACAGACCTTTGTACTTATGTACAACTGCATAATTATTTTGGTGCTGGCATCCCATTTATCACTTGTTTATATCACTTTTTTTTCCTTTGTCTGACCTGATTTAAACCTGTAAAGTTAAAGTCACATAMAWGTTATTATATCTGCCCCTTTTTGCATAAAATTTAATTCAAACAATAAAAATACACAAAATGTTTGCATATCTTTTCCGAAAATAGCCTCAATTATCCGGACTTGTCAGAGCACAAATAGGCCCTGGAGTATTAAACTGTTGAATTAAAAGCTTGGAGATGCATGTCATGTTTTGGTTATGGGGTATGTACTAGAGATGTACTGTCATCACCACATTACCTTTATGTCATATGGAAAAATGCCTGCACAGTGTGTTTGTGCAATGTTCGTSTGTAGAGTAACATCACTCACTGTGCAGCTGGGATTTGCGAGCGTATTATCCCCCTTTTTGCTTGATTAAAAAACTGAAACAAAAGTACTGGACACCACGGGTTTTGGATTAAAAATTGTGTTGTCTTTTTTTTTGTTGTTGTTTGTGACTATTTTTTGTGAACTMCTAGGGGGAACAAAATGCTGTTTTTGATTTAATAATGTTTTAGAGTAGATAAAAAACTTCTGGAACCAGATGAACGAACATTTAAACATCTTACTGCACATCACTGTGTGGATATGCATGTTTGACAATGTCAGCAGTGTGTCATAGTTATTTTCATACCAGACGAGTATGAGCCCTATGGCTGCCACGATTGCTTACTTGTTGTATCATAAGCCCCTAAGTCTCATGTTGACACTGTGTATATGTACTCAACAAGCAATGCAACAGCCTCTTCTGTGCCTTTAGCTTTTGATGTTTGCACCATACATATAAATCATGTTCTTTAAGTACATTTCCAAGAACAGAGCTTCATATAGGAAGAGACAGGTGCCATGCATGGGTATGGTCAAATAAAAAAGGTAATCTGTGTTTTTTATTTATGACATTTGGGTTATTTTTGTGTGCTTTACAGTATGTGCTCTGAAGAGCTCACTAAGGTCTGAGTCTGTGTATTTCATATCACAGCTGAATAATTTTAAATTAAACATATTTTAGAACATGATCAGGGAAATGTGTTAAATTAGTTTCAATACGCTTTATACTAGAAGCTTTATAGACACTGAATTAAATAAAAACAAAAGCAGCTTTAATTGTCTGAATGACAAGCTTCCTGCTGCATTGTTGCTTTTTTATTGATTCACCCTTTCTTTGTGTACCTTTCAAATGTTGCGTCTGTCTTTAGATTGGCCTTTCAGTGTTTATGCAGACAAAAACAACTTCATTTGATTTTATTTCTTTGTTTCTTTGCCTAGAAATTAAGTACAGTGGATGACTTTATTTGTTTAATGTTAAAAAATGAATGTTAATGTAAATCTGTGTTTGCTTATAAATGTTTTAAAAAATACAAGCTCTAATGGAAGGTCAATTTTTACAATCTGAGTCGTTTCAAGATTCAGTCTGTGCAGAACWTGTGCCCTTTGAAAATGCGCTGAATCAGAACTAATGCATTACCTAAAATAATCTTTACATTCTCAGTCACATTGATTATTGTTTTTAGGCTGCAAAATTTTGCTAAATTGTCATTTTTGTTTTTAAAATATCTGTTATTATATGTGCAGTGAAGTTGATGTCTATTGTGTTGTTGAACCACTCTACCTTTTTATGAAAATGCTTCAGTGCTACTAATTGTGGAGAAATTCACTAATAATAGGACATCTATCAGTGTTTAGAAGTTGTGGCACCTCTTTTTTCTTTTGGTTTATGTTTTCTTTTGCAGCTGTAATCAATGCAGCTGACTGTCAGTGTTTTATGGGTAACTTCATTTTTGTGACTTCCCCTTGTTTACCAACTTGTTATTTTGACTTGGAAACTATCCAACTCACTTATTGGATCAATCTCAAGAGTGTGACAGTCGATTGATTCAAAATATCACTGGAAAGACTAAATATGTTTGCAGTTTTAAAATAATCTTTCACTAAACTACTCTGTTTTTGTTGCTTGTTTGCAGGAAAGTGTGTCCTCCTTCAGTAGATCAGTAACAAGTGCTCTTCACTATGAATACAGGTATGCATACAATATACACAAAATAAATAAATAAATAAATAAAATGGAGGAGTCATCTATCTTCTCAGTCAGTATCCACTAGTTTTGACTGAAATAATTTAAAATAACATTTTGGGTCAGAGTCTTTTTGTTTGTTGGCCACAAGTTTGATTCTATTAGAAAAAGATTGAGAGGAAAAAAGGGAAGAAAACATGAAATATTGTCAACCTGTTCCTTTTAGACTATTTTATTTGAGTTACAATGCTCTATCTGAAATTTGGCAGTGTTAATAAACTAAAGTGTACATTTCTCTCAGCAAACCAGTGAGAAGTAATCCATCATAAAATGTTCTCATCATCATGTGTGCCTGCTAGCATGACTCATTTTGCCAGTGGTAACAAAGTGAAAAACACTTTTTTTTGTTTGTTTAAACTTTATAAGTAACTAGAGCTCATTTGAAGTTGAGAAAAAAACACTAGACTCACTTTTATGTCAAACCAGCAGTATTCTTTAGTATTTAAATGTAATTTCTCAACTACATTATCAGATTCAACATTGCGTAAAATTCWAATTGTACATATTTTCATGAACAATGAAAAATACAAAGACAATTTCAAAACATGTTCTGTCATTCAACTTAAATGATAATTCAATAAAATGGAATTATATGCTGTATCAGCACTTTTATTGGTTTAATTTGATTAATAGTTTAATATTAATATTCCATCCTTTTATAGAGAAAACACATATGCTACAATAAAAAGAAGCTTTTTAAATGCATGGGCTTTCTGCTTTGCTTCTAATTGTTTGCCCTTTTTTTTCTGGCTTGACCCGTTTGTGCGTTGGTGTGTTTTGTATCGTTGTTTACGTGCATGTGCATGTACGCTTCTGCTTCGGCCTCAATGGTCACCCGCCTGACTGGGATTCCTCAGATAGCGGAGGATGTGCTCGCAAAAGTGTGGCCTTGTCACTCACACTCTCTCCCATGAAGAGGGTCCAGAGCTCACCAAATCTAGCCACAGGTACTAACACTCACAAACACAGTCAGTTGTTGACATTAGAACAGGATGCCAAARTAGAACTGACACTGTTTATTGAGACATTTTTTGGGGAAGAGCTTAAAGCTTCAGGAAATGCTTCATTTACGACCAGTTCTCCTTTATTTGAAAAAGGGTGTGACTTCTTTGTTATCCTTAAACAATGACTGGAATGTGTATGCTTTTCTATGATCCCTTTTTGTTAATTTTTGTATTTCCTTTTGGGCAGTTTTTCCTTTCTTATGTTTYATTTGCTTCGAAGTGATCGCAATCATACTTAACTAACTAGTCATGCATATGATCTTCTTTCTGTTTTGGAGCTTATGCTGTATGTTATGTTCAGAAACAGCTTTATATTTTTGTCTTTTTTTTGCTTTATCATGTATTACCATTCTGMTGTCTTGATTCATGTCATTTCCTTTTGCAAACAAAGCCACAGTAAAACCATGGTGAAAAAAATTGCAGCAATTTCACCAGATAATTGTTGAATATGTTCATCTATTATAAAATATATTATGTGCAGAAATAATTTGAAGTTTGTCTGAGGGCTGAATGTAACCACACATTTAGATATTGCCTTTTTCTTTCGACAGGGACAGAATTACACTCTTCAGAACATGGTAAGAAATAAAAAAAACTATAAAAACAAAAAAGCCAAATGAAACATACAGTTCAACATTTGACGTTGGTTTTGTCACATTTTGTTCCAGATTCCTGGCGATCTCACAGTGTAACCGATGGTCTTAAAAATGGAGATGCTAACAGCTCGTCTCTTGCCGCTAAAGGTTTCCGAAGCGTCAGACCCAACCTGCAGGACAAAAAGTCACCCACACAGGTGAAATAGCTCATGTCTTACACTGACTAAGGTTAACCTTTATCTTACTTTTTGATGTACTGCCAAGATTTTAAATAAGTGAATCATATTACTGCACTATGTGTTTTGGTCTTACTAATTAGTAAAAATTCAGTATAGCAAAAAAATCTTTATTTCTAATGCCTACTGCTGTACTTTTAGGAAAATTCTTGGTAGAGCATAATGTGGAGCTTTGCGCTGATGATATTTCTTGTTTTTGTTTTTGTTGTTGTTTGAACTTACATTTGGCTGCTGCTTCTGGTTGGCTAACAAGGTTGTCAGTCCCTTACCTCTGCCACCCCCCAGGAGAGAGAGTTTTCACTTTTTGCCCACTGGCACCGAACCGCCAGACTACAGCTCTATCATTAATCTGGTTAATGACCTGAGTCCCGGAAAATTAACGCTCACTRAGAACGACGAAGCAGTTTTGAAAAGGTCCTACACAGTTAGCAGCATGTCTTCTTACTCCTACTCAAAAACGAGTGCAAACTCAGTCCAACCGGTTCATCAGCCCACCGTTCCCAACGATGTGAGCAACTTCAGTGCATCTGCCACTGCTAATAACCGGGAACGTAAAGTTTCTTCCCTTAAACTAACCCCTGTCACTATTCCCGACCCCCCTGCTCATCTTAACTTTGAAGCCAAAGATCAGTCTAAGACCCAAACCAYATTCTCCCCTCCCCAAACGTCCCCACCTCCACCAAACTGTCCAATCCCTCTTCAATCCCCATCACAGACCGCTTCACTTTCTGCACACTTCGTCAAAGAGTATCTTGAAAAGCCAGCATCGTTGACGTCAAATCCAAGCGTGGAAGCCAAGATCTCAGATCAGAYCCAAACTTCAGCTTCGTCCCAGGTGGAGATGCCAAGACCTCCTCCTGCAGTTCCACCAAGACCTCCGCCTGCAGAACTCCTGGTACAAAACTGATTGTGTAATTTAACAAGAGAAGCAACACGCAGCCTTCCTTTACTACAAACCATCACAGTACAGTATAAGTTTGTATCTTGGAAACATCAACAGGGTCTAAAGGGTTTACACATAAATTGGAACACGTCATTTGACATTAAAACATGCACGAGAAACTGTAAATGTGCTTTGCTAAAATTACAGAGCAAAGCTGATGAGTGCTCTTTGTCTCTTGAATGTCTGACACTGGCATTCTTTTAAAGCATGTTAGTTGCTACAAGTGTCTGTTGCCCTTTAGATGGCCAGTTGTGATGCTTTCTTTTGACCAACAAAACTGAATTTTATATTTGTTTAAATGTGTACTTTATGTGTGATAATAACCAAATGTTTGAAGGACTTTATGTCACTGTTGCTGAAAAAAAAAAGTCATTTTGCTGATTAGTACTGATATTGGACTAATGARGGCTCTGATTTATAACATTGTTTGTTTCTGATGCTGCAGCCATATGTAACAGTTTGATATCACCATCTGCCAAGCTTTCATGTTGTTTTCACACATCCCTTTCGACAGTGTGGCTAATATTTGATATAACTAAGCATTCGCCTCCTCTCCTCCCTCTCCTATCAATCCCTTCTTACTCCCAACACCAGGGGCCTCCTTCCCCTGACCCTTCAGCACGGCACTCCCCCTATCGCTGCCAGAGCTCTGAATCCCTCGACTACCTGTCAAGCCTAATGCCCAAGACTCTGTCGCCCACCCCGTACGTTCCTAGCGGAGCCTTTATCAAAGCTGGTGCTCTCAGCAGTCCGAGCCTTACCACGGTCAGCAGCATGAGCGTCGGTGGCTGCGTGTCACCCGCAGCTTCTCCTGTGACGGTGTCGGCGCTCAGCCACTACTCGTCGTCTACAGCAGGTCTGATGGACGAGCTGCAGATCTGTAGCCTGGACTCTCCCGGCGCCTCGCCCACGCCATCGCCCACGCTCAGCCATGCCTCTGCCTACACATCCACTGCTGGGCCTGATGATGCGCTAACAACCTATGTGGGCTCCACTGCCACAGCAGCCACTGTCACTAATGTAATTATCCGTACAAGCCACCTCTTTAACACACATCATTGCATTAAAAAAATCGTTYCCAGTCTCCCCCTACTCATTTTATTGGTTAAACATAACACTTTGTTTTTACTTTAACTAACCATCAACTGCGATTCACCTGAGTACTGTCTGTATTGTTCATCTGTATTCAGTAGAGCTTATTGTCTTTGTCAGCTTCTTTACATGTCTCTCTTTTGCCTTTTGTTTCTGTTTCTTTCTCTAATTACACTGCAAAAAATGTCCACCTAACCAAGTTTTAAAATCTGATATCCAGCCAAAAAGTCTCTTTGATCTTGTTTTGAGACTGATTTACTAAACAAGAACTGATTGTGTAAGAATAATAATCTTGTTTTCAGAATGTGTAAGATTATTTGTCTTGTTAGYCTGAAAATTTGACTCAAATTGAGTCAAAACTTTCTGCCAGTGGAGTAAGAAAGTTGTACTTGGGAAGATTCTTGAAATACTTGATTTGACTCATTTGTTTTCTTATTTCAAGAATCTTACCAAGTAAAATTTTCTTACTCCACTGGCAGAAATTTTTGAATTAATTTGAGTCAAATTTTCAAGCTAACAAGACAAATAATCTTACACATTCTGAAAACAAGATTATTATTCTTACACAATTAGTTCTTGTTTAGTAAATYAGTCTCAAAACAAGATCAAAAAGACTTTTTGGCTGGATATAAGATTTTAAAACTTGGTAAGATGGACAGTTTTTGCAGTGTATGTCAAAAGAAAAGAGGTACTATTTTCACTGTTTTAATCTAAGTCCTCAAGTGACGGAAAAAATATCATATGTTGGGAATTTAGCAACATCAGACTGTCATACTTAAATTTTTATGCAGCGCCAATGTCACAATCCAATTTATGGGTCGAAAAAAGGATATACATTTCAAATAAAACATATTTATTATAACTAAAATTAAAACTACTTAAATTATTATGCAGTATGTGTCTGGTCAGTTAGGTAACAAAGTTAAAGTGAATGAGTGTGGTGAATTCAAATACTGTGTCTTTAGGAAAAGCAATGAAAACCAGGACAAAGTCAGAGAGAAAAAAGAGRTCCTGAGGTTTAGGAGTCCTGCAGAGCACTGATCTCCAGGCTCCAGATCTATTTAGATACTACTGCTCAGCTCCTATGACATCTTAAAAAGACATGTTCACCATCTCAGCAGACAGAACTGGCAGGTCTGTGACCTCAGGTTGACACAGAAATGAGCTGCAAGTATTTCCACCCAACAATCAGCGACACGGCCCTCTTTGTAGGCCACTGTGTTTACTTTTGTGAGGTCATTGGTAGCTTTTCATTGTTTGTGTGTTTGCCCACCAGACACAGCCATTTTGTTTGTGCCTGATGGAGAATGTCTTTTGTTGACATCAGCCCTATTTAAACATTTTTATTTTTTATACGGCGTGTCACATATATTAGTCGCGTGTCAATATACTTGCTAAAAACGCGCTCTCTAACAATGTGATGTTTGTTATTTATGGCATGAAACAGCATGTTCAAATAGGATTTCCAGTTACAGGAGGCTGCCATTCAAACTGAATTTTCATTTTGATTAATACTGCAGTACTTTGACATTTACAAAGCAATTAGGTTTGAATCTGTTGTCCCGGGTCATAGTTGTGTTGTATTGTCACTGTTTATTTCGAGCCTTGTTACCTACAACATCCATCAGTGTAATGAAGTGAGAAATGTCCCAGGAGCTGTGGTTCCACACACATACTCCCTCCTACAGAGATGATGATTGGATTGGCTCTCCAACCAAGAAATTATTTTTCTCACAAAAGCAACATGAAACTGTTAAAACCCATCTTACAGTCGTTTATTATCGCAGTGAGTTTTAAGTCTTGGTTTGACTTGATCACTCGCAAAACCCATTTTTTTCTCCTCAAAATTCCATCAAAAAAATGTTCGTATTGCTGGGAACATTTTTTTTATTTTACCAGTTTTTCGTTGCCTTACCTTGATTTTCCTCACCATGAATTGTTGTTAACCTTAAAGTGTATTTGTAAATAATTTATTTCTGTCATATTGAATGGGAAATATTATGTCACAACCTTTCCCATTCTGGATATACCACGTCTGCCGTCTTGTGCTTGTCAACTAATTCTTAATCTTTTGTTTGGGAATGAACTGTCTTTGTTTACTGTTAGCATTAGCAAACTTTTTTATCTGTTTTGAAATAAAGTAAAATTAGTTTCCCATTGCTTCACTAACAATTTCTTTATTATAGACTATTCTAATTAAGCACTTCCTCTAAATCTTTATAAGTTGATTGATAATATGAGTACAGGGTTTGCTATTGCTGTAAGACCTGTTTAATTTACTTAGCAAAATGTTTTAAATAGTTTGATTATTTAGGACTGGTTGTTATTTTTTTATATTCACGTTTTATTTAAAACGTTAGATCTGTGAGATGGTTTAAATGTTCATTGGTTGACTTAAATCTATTATATCTTATTGCCCTTATTTGTGGGTTATTCCTAGGGCCAGTTTCTCTCTCATGCTATGAATGGAGGTACTAGCCATCTACCGAGGCCCATGTCCCCCCCATCGTATCCGTCGCCCCCTGCCTCRCTCCACACTGGCCTACAGAGACAGAGCAGGAGCTCAGGTGAGCCACTGTTTTTTGTCACTTTGCTGTTGATGTTACCTGCTTTTTTCACCAACCAGTCCTTGGATTTTAGCATAAACTTCTTCACATGACTTAAGAGTATTCTTAACAAAGCTACAGACAAGAGTTGCAAATGGTACCATGACCCAGAATTTACCAAACAAATGAAGCTTTATACAATTCACTGTCAAAAGGGAATTTTTCAGGATGTAAATTACCTGAAGTGAAGTGACTATT